ATTATTATTTTTATATAAATAAGCCATAACATTGAAATTTTCATTTTTAAAAAATGAATAAAAAAAAGTGGGGGAGAATTTACTCTTTCTTACCGTATTTAATCCCCTTGCTTGAAACGTAACAAAACCCTAAAAGGGTTCTTGTAAGAACCTATCAGCCGCCGGATTAATCTCACTCGTCAAACTCCCTCTAGTGTTCACGTTTGATCCGAGCTCAAAGTTTTGAGCTTTTCCCGTAGCACTTTCATCGGGTTTACCAGCTATTCTTCTTTGTTGTTGCTGGTTTTACTTGCAATACATGGTACGGTTATTTGCTCTCTTTAATATTTTTTGTCATTGAAATTTTGAAGGACTGATTTTTACGTGTTTTGATTATTGTTTCTTGGTTAATAATCAGGAATTTTGAAGTTTCAGATTGAGGATGGAGCTTTTCAAAGAGTTTGAGTTTTGTGATAGCTTAAAGTTAGCACCTTGAAACTGTAAATATGAGTTCTAGCTGTATCAACGTTCGAAGTTTCGATTTTTGGGATCAGTTTAGGCTTTAGGTTAGATTAATTGTTTCTGGGTAGTGATCTTTTTTGTACTTTGGTAAAGGGTCCTGATCAATTAGGGTTTTTTGAAATGTTATCTGAATTGGGTCGGAGGGCAATGGTAGGAGGTAGTGAAGGATCATTTGGGGATGATCTGGAGAAGGAGATGGGTCTGTTGCTCCGTGAACAGCGGAGACAAGAGGCTGATGATCTTGAACGGGAGCTGAACTTGTATAGAAGCGGCTCTGCCCCTCCAACTGTGGATGGTTCACTCAGTGCGGTGGGTGGCTTGTTTGGTGGCAGTTCAGCCTTCTCAGCCTTTTCTGGAGCTAAAAATGGAAATAGGTTTGTGTCTGAAGAGGAGCTGAGATCTGATCCAGCTTATCATTCCTACTATTACTCAAACGTGAATCTCAATCCAAGGCTGCCACCTCCTTTGCTATCAAAGGAGGATTGGAAATTTGCACAGAGGTTGAAGGGAGGGAGTTCAGTGGTAGGTGGAATTGGTGATAGGAGGAATGTAAATAGGGCTGATAATGGTGGTAGCAGGTCTCTGTTCTCTATGCCACCAGGGTTTGATTCCAGGAAACAAGAGACTGAAGTTGAGGCAGAGAAAGTGCATGGCTCTGCAGAGTGGGGTGGTGATGGATTGATTGGTTTGTCTGGTATAGAGCTTGGAAGCAAACAAAAGAGCCTTGCTGAAATTTTTCAGGTGAATAACAACCGTTCCTGATTCTTCTGTAATTAGGTTTGCCTCTCTACTGTACTCCGTGTTATGGACTGTTTTTGTTATTTTTTATTTGCTTCATCTTGATGTTTTGACACTTAGTGAATTGCGTATCCTTAGTGCACATGGTCATTGGATTGAAATTCAGCTGTGGCGACGCATGTCCTGGAGGGTTACAGATGTGGTTTTCTGGTTTTGTCTCTGGCATCCTATAAATTGTGCATCTTTGGGCTGATTCATTCATTGGAAAGGGAACTTTATTTTATTTTCAGTTATCTGTTTCGGCCTTTTTTTACACTGTATGTGTATTAGTTTATATTATACATTGTTTTTGTTGCATTGAATATTGTAATTTGGAGGAATTGATTGTTTCTTTCCCCTTCTTTTTTGGAGGGGGTGTGGTGGCACGAGTAAGAATGAAATCCAGCTCTCGATCTCCAACCAACTGCTACTCAAGGAGATTGGTGCCTCTATCCTTTTGAGACTTCTGTAGAATTTGTGGTTGCTTTAGTATTTAGAAATTTAAATCTCTGTTATGAGCTGTTGAGCTGTTCATCTTTTTGTGGTCTTATAATTGTCTATATGCAGGATGACTTGGGGCGTGCAACTCCAGTGGTAGGTAATCCTTCGCGTCCTGCTAGTCGCAATGCCGTTGATGAAAACTTTGAAAATGTAGCTTCTGCTGAAGCTGAGCTGGCTCTTCTGCGCCAGGAATTGGGTTCTAAAGATTTACGATCAAGTGCAAGTGGTCAGGGCTTGTCCACAGTTCATGGTGTTGGGCCACATTCTTCATATACTTATGCTGCTGCTGTCGGTGCTTCTTTGTCTAGAAGTAACACCCCGGATCCCCAACTTGTGGCTAGGGCTCCTAGTCCTTGCCCGGCACCAATAGGAGGAGGCCGAGTTGGAGCCTCAGAGAAAAGAGGTGTGAACAGTCCAAGCACATTTAGTGGTGTGTCATCTGGCATCAATGACCATGCGGATTTGGTAGCCACTCTATCAGCCATGAACTTGTCTTCAAATGGTGTCATGGATGATGATGATCAACCACCATCACAGATTGATCAGGATATTGATAATCACCAGAGTTATTTGTTTGCTCTGCAAGATAGCCAAAATCCAGTTAAGCAGACTGCATACTTAAAGAAGTCTGAATTTGGGCATTTACAAAACAAGAATAATGGGATCCGGTCAGAGCTAAAAAGTCCATCTCTACTGGCTGATAGGCAAGCTGAACTGCATAAGTCTGCCGTTCCTTCAAACAATTCTTACTTGAAAGGAAGCTTACCTGCTCAGTATCAGCGCTCGGAAGGCACCAATTCATCTTTTGCAAACTATGGTTTAAGTGGATACTCCATAAATCCTGCTTTGGCCTCTATGGTGACTAGCCAAATCGGCACTGGTAATCTGCCATCATTGTTGGAAAATGTTGCAGCAGCTTCAGCTATGGGAATTCCTGGAATAGATTCCAGAGTGCTGGGAGGTGGTTTGGCCTCTGGACAAAATATGTCAGCTGCTGCATCTGAATCTCATGGTCTTAATAGAGTGGGTACCCAAATTGCTGGGAATGCCCTTCAAGCACAGTTTGCTGATCCTATCTATCTTCAGTATCTGAGGACATCTGAGTATGCTGCGCAGCTTGCAGCTCTTAATGATCCTGCAATGGATAGAAACTTCTTAGGTAATTCATACATGAACTTGGTTGAGCTCCAGAAAGCTTATCTTGGTGCTCTGTTATCACCTCAGAAATCCCCGTATGGTGTTGCACTGGGTGGTAAGTCCAGCAGTTCAAATCATCATGGTTTTTATGGAAGTCCTACGTACGGTGTTGGCATGTCTTATCCTGGAAGCCCTCTGGCAAATCCTGTCATTCCAAATTCTCCAGGTGGACCTGGCAGTCCTATAAGACATGGTGAGTTGAATTTGCATTTCCCCTCTGGAATGAGGAACTTAGCAGGGGGTCTTATGGGAGCTTGGCATTTGGATGCGGCATGTAACATGGACGGAAGTTATGCATCCTCTCTGCTGGAAGAATTTAAGAGCAATAAAACAAAGTGCTTTGAGCTTTCAGAAATTGACAGTCATGTTGTTGAGTTTAGGTATATAGAGAACTCAAGTCATCCATCAATATGTTATTATAATATCATCCTGACCTAAATTTTCAACTATCATTTTTGGCAGTGCGGATCAGTATGGGAGCCGTTTCATTCAGCAAAAACTTGAAACAGCAACAACTGAAGAGAAAAATATGGTTTATCAGGAAATCATGCCTCAAGCTCTGGTTCTGATGACTGATGTGTTTGGTAATTATGTCATTCAGAAGGTATTCAGTATTCTGAAGCTGCTGCAAGTTTAATTAGCTGTATAATTGCTGCTGCAAGTTTAATTAGCTGTATGATTGTCTTTGGATTGACTGCTAAAAGTTTGTTTCTTCTTAGTTCTTTGAGCATGGACTCCCATCCCAGAGAAGGGAGCTTGCTGGCAAGCTTTTTGGTAATGTTTTAACTCTCAGCCTTCAAATGTATGGTTGCCGGGTCATCCAGAAGGTATGCCATGGGGTTCCCTTGTTACTAATTGATACTTACAGTTAACTTTGGTAGGTTTTATCCAAAATGTTATGTTGTACCCAACAAAATTTGAAATGTTTTTTTGATGTTGGTATGTATACATGCTATAGGATTTTCTAGACTTAATTGTATTTGTCTTTTGAATTGCATTAGATGTTTTACAAGGAGAAAATGCCCTTAAACTCAATGCATTTGTTCATTATCTATATAGATCATCTTATAACAAGTAAATGCCTCTAAACCATTTTTTACACACACAAGAGAATGAGGGGATGATTTGATAATTACCGTATGCCAGCACTTTTTTCTTTTTGTCTGGAAAGATCTCATGGTAATTGAGAGACAATGGTAGTTGAATTACTTTTATTCAATGGCACTGCTGTGATTTCTGACTTTTATTTGTTTTTTTAACATTCAAGGCAATAGAAGTTGTTGATCTTGACCAGAAGATAAAAATGGTTCAAGAGCTTGATGGTCATGTAATGCGTTGTGTGCGTGACCAGAATGGAAACCATGTCATTCAGAAGTGTATTGAATGTGTTCCTGAAGAAAATATTCAGTTTATAGTCACTACGTTCTTTGATCAAGTTGTGACCCTTTCTATGCATCCATATGGGTGCCGTGTTATCCAGGTTTAGAGATTGTTTGTTACTTTAGTTTGATTCTCGAGAAATTTTTTTTTATTTTTATTACTACATTTATATTTTTTTTAAGGAAGAGTAATTTATGTTTTATATAATCCTTTCACATGGCAGAGAATACTGGAGCACTGCAAGGAACCAAAGACTCAGGATAAAGTTATGGACGAGATTTTGGGATCTGTTAGCATGTTGGCCCAAGACCAGTATGGCAATTATGTTGTCCAGGTCAGCTTTTTTTTCTCGAAACCTCTAATGGAATAGTCTTCTGGTCTTTTATTGTTGTTATAGGAGTGATATGAATGATTTTTTTCCTCATTATATGGATCTATTTTGCTTATTTACTTGTTCATTGTTTTTGGTTGATATCCATTAATTGTTGAAGTGAGTTCTGGTTTCTTTCTCTGGTGGTTTTGTCACATAAGAGCGTGAGTCGACCTTGTAGCTTGACATCTGCTGCCTTCAGTAATCCCATATCCATTTCAGCATCCTTTATCCATTCTATCTATGAAGTGTTTTCCCTTGCTATCTTAGGAACATAGTCTCTGTTAAAAGCTTTTTGCCATCAGACTAGTTATTGTTCTCTGCTTGCTTACTTAATTACTTAAGTTGGTTCTTTCCCCTGACTCAATATTTTTGTAGACCCAATTCAAACAATCTGTAGGCCTCTTTAGTACCTCTGGGTGTTCCTACAGCAGTAATTATGCGATTTTTATCATTTCTTCTCGTTGTAGTGTTTGATTATGCAGAAATCGCAGCCAAACTACCTCTTTTATAAGCTTAATGTGTCTCTATGTATTCAATGTTGTGTCAACCATAAGTCAACTGATCCATTGCATTTATTTAACAGCATGTGCTGGAGCATGGCAAGCCTCACGAGCGCTCGATTATCATAGAGGAATTGGCTGGGAAGATAGTTCAGATGAGTCAGCAGAAGTTTGCCTCTAATGTTGTAGAGAAGTGTTTGACTTTTGGTGGTCCTACCGAACGTCAGTTACTTGTGAATGAGATGCTTGGTTCTACTGATGAGAATGAGCCTCTACAGGTTTGTTAGGTTTTATGCAAAATTTCTATAACTTTTATACAGTCTAATTTTAACTGTCTGGGCTGGGAAGCCTTCTCAATTGTTAAAGAAAACCCATGAACCCCTTGTTTCTTTGTGGCTGGGACAGTTTCTGTTGTGATTGTTTGTCAGGGTCGCTGATTTGCATCACTGACCAATTTGTAGATACTTATTTTGGAGGCATGCTTTAATAGTCTGCTTGAGATTTCTAATACCCATGATTCTTCAGCAGTTCTTACTAGTTCTTACTTGTTGCTTGGTTCATTAGGCATTCTGGTAGAATATAGTATCTTGGCAGTATTGGAGGCAAGCTCCGAGAAAACGATCGAAAATCTCAAAGATACTGAATGTATTCCATTTTATTTGGCTGATATATGAGTTTGTACATAACCAATTTGCGTTTTGTTTTTGTTCTTTCTTTGTATGCTTTCACCAGGCGATGATGAAAGATCAGTTCGCAAACTATGTTGTACAAAAAGTATTAGAGACTTGTGATGACCACCAACGTGAGCTGATCCTTTCACGAATTAAAGTCCATTTAAATGCATTGAAGAAGTACACTTACGGGAAGCATATTGTTGCCCGTGTAGAGAAACTTGTTGCTGCTGGGGGTACAAATTTTTCCCTTTCATGTTGAAGAGATTATGTTTGTTTTTCAAAAATGTTAATAGTCTGCTAATGCGCCCATTGCATCTTTTTGCAGAAAGGAGAATTGCTGCTCAGTCTCCACAGCCTGCATAGACGAAATAGGAAAGGAAGTTGTCTGTACAGCTAACTGAGGCTACTGTGAGCCTTCATCCTCTCTTTCTTCCCCGTATTTAGGGCTATGGTTATCGTTCTTTACCCATCTTTTTAGGCAGGTAAGAGCTGTATGGAAGTAATAAGTTGTTGCTCGAACTGGAAAACTGTAAATTGTGTAGCTTTAAGGTTTATACATAGAATGGAGCGAACTCCGAGGTTCAGATGTTGAATACTCCTGATGCCCCTGCAGAGGAGATAAATGACTATACAAGTTTTTAAGGGTGTAAAAAATTTAAATGGTGAGGTAGTTTATATGATAACGCGACTGTACAAAAGTTGCCATGTTGAGAGCTGTTGATTTTAGGCGAGACTCAAAGTGTTTTTTTTTTTCCAATCAATGGATGGTTAAATGGCATTTTCATTCACTTCCAAATTGACAATCTTCTTATGCTATTATCCTGTTTATGCCTATATATCCTATATGCTTCTTGATGATGAGCTTAGATATTACAAGGGCAGACAATCCAAGGAAGAAGATGATAACTGGGAAATAATTTGCTTCAAATTGAAATATAATTACAAAAATACGTTTGTGTCTATGGAAACCTTGGCCAAACAAAGCAGGGTGGAATTGCAAACAAAGTGAAACAGCTTACAAAGTTATGGAAGTCCTAATCTTCATCTTCATATTCATCAATCTTCTGTCCAAATCCCCTTGGTCCGGTCCTGGCTCTTGCCCTCACCTTCTTCTTCTTCCCACTTTTCTGAGTTGCTGCTTCTTTCTCAAACTTTTCCCTTTCCCTCTTCCGCAGGAAATCTTGCACACCTAAGTAGATAACCTGGAACCCAATTCAAAACACCAAAACTCAGCAACAACCCACATCCCAAAATCACAGATTTCACTCAAAAACTCCATTTTCTTCCCTAATCGAAAAACAAGTAGCAGTTTTGAGAGTAGTACAAATTTACCCCAATAGTGAGAATAGATAGAGCAACAAAGGCAAGGAAGAGAAGAGCAGATATAATAGTTGCCACACCATCATCACCACTGGCGGATACTATCTCCTCGGAATTCTCAAGTGGGGTTGAATCCACGGGAATAACTTCCCCAGAAGTAGCATGAATCCTCCAAAGTTGGACGCTTTTCTCTTGATCTCTTCTGCTTGGGGTGTGAAAATGGTTGCTTTTCCTTGATGACTTGGCTGCCGGTAAGGATGGAGAAAACGCAAAAGGTAGAGAATGATGAGATTTTCGCTTGAAAGAGGAGGCGAGAGGTACTAGTCCAGCCAGAGGAGATACACAAGTAGTGGCCATAGCTCATCTGCAATCGGCGGAAGCCCCTCTCCACCACTTATCTTTCCGCCGGGAAAAGCTGCGCCGGTGTTTCTTTTTTAAGATAAAGAGAAACCAGAGATGGTAATGCTGCAGACGCAATGGGCTTTTTGTTCCCATGATCCAGTACGGTGTGAGACTCTGACACAGATACAAACCCAAGAAAATTGGGCTTAATTACCCAAAATTGAAAATTTGGGCTTTCTATCCACCGCCATAAGCCCAACTGGGAGGAGTGGATAACAGCTGTTCACCAACACCATTCTCCCCTCAAAACGTCGAAGGGGCAAAGTCGGCATCAGGCTCATATCATACCCAATTTACCAAAATAACCTCGTTCTTTGCTTATTTGTCATTCTCTCCTGCGATCAACGCTGTCTATCCTAGTAACATCACTATCCACCCATATTATCAGATGCACCCGGTTACACCCATAGGAACCAAGATTAGATTACGTGGCGCAATCTGATTCAAAGGAGTAGAAAAGACACAGACACGTGGAGCAATTACAACAATCTGATTGGAGTTCGAATCATGATTTCGATTTTTTAGAGAACAGATATTTGGGAGGATCAAAAATATCTGGCTAAGTCATCCACGTAGGCATCAGGGCGTAGACCCATCTGGAAACAGATTTTACACTTTTTGTTTTTTTCTCATCGTTTGCGTTTTCTTTTTTTCCTGAACCGAATTTTCTCTCCCCCCAAACAGCCCCCGATTCTCCCGCTGATATTGAACCTGCATATTTTTAGTTTACTTCTTCTTCCTTGTTTCTTTCTTGATCTCGAAATTATTGTTTCCGAGACGAAAAGCTCTGATTTTTTTGGGGTTTGGGAGGATATGGGAGAAGAAGTGAGGGGGAGTGAATATGACAGCAACGGTGGTGATGAAGTGAGAGTTTCGGAATGGGAGATGGGGTTACCCAGCGCCGATGATCTTACTCCCTTATCCCAGCTGTTGATCTCGCCGGAACTCGCTTCGGCGTTTAGTATTTCGCCGGAACCTCGGCGGTCCGTCCATGACGTGACTCGCGAATCACGGAATACTCTCTGCTCTATCCGCGCCACGGGGGCCCAGTCTTCCACCAACAACAACAACGATGATGACAATTTCGGGTCTTTTGCTGATCCGATGGTGTTGGAACCTGACGGGGATGGGTCGGGGTCTGGATCCGGGTCAGACGCTCGGAAGATGCGGAAAGTGACGGTGACGGACGGCGATTTTGCTGAGGAAGCGGATTCTGCTGTGAGAATGGAGAATTCGGATGATCCGTTGGAGCGGACCTTGAAACGGCCGAGGTTGGTGTGGACGCCTCAATTGCATAAGCGTTTCGTGGATGTGGTGGCGCACTTGGGAATCAAGAACGCTGTTCCCAAGACGATCATGCAGTTGATGAACGTAGAAGGCCTGACTCGGGAGAACGTGGCGAGTCATTTGCAGAAATACAGGCTATACTTGAAGAGGATGCAGGGGTTGTCCAGCGAGGGACCGTCGTCATCTGATCAGCTGTTCGACTCGAGTATGCACGAGAGCGGTGGCGGAGGGAACACCAACGGCCATGTTGGGATGCCTATACACATGCCCTGTGGCGCGCCGATGATGCCATTGCCAATACCTGCGTACGGCCATATGGGTATGCATCAAGGAGGATATCATCATCCTCACCTGCCGCCTGGATTCGAAATGAATCCATATGGGATGATGCAGCAGAGAGACTGGTCCGGGAATAAGTACGGGTCTGGGGTGTCATATCCGCACCATGGTCCTGCTAATGATAAACTAAATTAGCTGGATTTGCAGAGAGGTGAGTTTTCTTTTTTCCCCCCATTTTTTTTCTTCTAAATTGAGCTCTTGATGTAATTTCAGTTGATTATTCTTTTTCCATAACCAGTGAATAAAAAGAAGTAGATTACTTGATAGATTGTCCTTGAGGGAAAGTCTTGCTTCAATTGCTATTAGTGTTTGGTAGTGAGCATTGAATATTTCAAAAAATAGGGGTAGAGGTACTGGATTGATTTAAAAATCCTGGTCCTCTGTAGTTGAGAATTCTTTGGTTGTAGCTTTTATGGTATTCTTGTATGCCATGAAAACTACTTCCAAGATTTCTTCTTTTTGTTTGAGATATGTTTGGTTTTCAATTAGAATGGAAAGCAATTGATTCCTATGCTAATGTTATGATAGAAGACATTCCAATATGATCATCTATCTAGAGATAAGGTGATTATTCAATATGATCATCAATCTAGAGATGAGGTGATAATTTCATGTGTCAAATTATCCTGAAGAGAAGATATTATCCTGGTAATGCTATATTATTTTGTTGTTACCTCTTCTTTATATGATGTCTAACATATAGTTTGTTATCTTGAAGGTGACTTAGTTGGAAGCAGTTCTTGTTGGGTATTAGTACATACTCCTCATGATAGTTTGAACTCCATTCTTCTGCATGGAATGGAGCTTTCACTATCATTGGGGTTTTCATTAAGAATTGATTTATTTTAATTCAAATATCTGAATTTAACCTATATTTGGCCCCTTTGTTTCCTTTTATTTTTTATTTTTATCTTCTCTGTGTTTCTTTCATACTCATTTTAGACAGATTGGTAGAGTCATCATGTTTGAAGGGATGCTTCTGGTTGCTCTTCTCTATACTGATAATGAAATCACAGGTTTGCCTTCTGTAGCTAGGGTTGTCAGGGGTTGCAATATAATTTTATGATTGCTGCTGGTTTCTTGTTGCCATGGATTGCTATTGGTTGATTTGATGATTTTTTAGGTCAGTTTACTGTTGCTTGAGAACATTTAATATTTTTGTCTTTTGTTTCTCTGTAGATTTAGAGCCACTTTGCATGCACAAATCTTGGAACTGGCTGGGATCTTGTTAACTGGGGATACATGGAGAATGGTTTCAAATGAAGCGTATGTAGATGGTTCAACAGATTACTCCATAAATGATTCAGGCAAGCCCCGATGGTTAGCTTCTTCAACTCTTCTGATGGAACGGAAGCAAGAAATTCTCCATGTATAACTTCTAATCTACCTAGATTATTAGCAAGAAATGCCCAGCATTGTCTCCTAGTCTACTTGGATTAGACAGTGCTTACAAAATTACATTTGTTGAATATATTGACCCTTCATAAAGCCAATTAATGGGCTAAAGGTGAAACTGGTCTGCAATCCTAACATGCTGAATATTGGACTACTCTGTCACCTCTTTCATACTTTTCTGTCTACTGGAGTTTCTTAGTATTTTCACATTGCTGCATCTCAGTCTGAGTTGCTATTCATGAACTTATGGTGAGACTCTGAGACTCTGATACCTCTTAGTTTATTTGCTTTCTGGGATTTTGATCTTGCTGAAATCTGTGATTTATGCGGTGGTCATGCTCTTATTCTATCAGAACCCTTTTTTCCATAAAGTTAACTTGATCTGTTGTGGATGGATATCACTGTCCTGAGCTCAGCATTATATTTTTATTTCACCGTGAAGATTGATGGTCACACCGAAGGAATATGACTTTGTTCGGGTAGATTCAACTCAAGTCTTGAGGAGAAGTATTCTAATAAAAAAAAACAAATGTGAAGGGCAGAGAGCATGATTCTTGAAGGCAAGCCAGGCCTGCTCATGTATCAGGCAGCTTCTACCCAACTGCATGCTGGAAAATTCATCATTTTTCTTTTCTTCATCGCCTTCTTCAACTTAACAACACTGGCCCAGTTTCCTGCTTCAGCATGTAAACTAGACAAGAGAAGCTTGTTTCCCGCATTACCTGGCTCAAGCTCCACCAAATGGTTAGCTGCGACCTCAGCAAGGTCCATATTTCCATGAGTTCTACAAGCTCCCAACAATGCTCCCCACACAAACAAATCTGGTTTAACAGGCATTGCCTTGATAATATCATACGCTTCGTTAACCTTTCCAGCTCGACCAAGAAGATCAACCAAGCATGCATAATGCTCTGCTCTCGGTCTAATTCCATATTTTTCTTGCATCAATTTAAACAGATTCTGTCCAAGTTCTATCAACCCAGCGTGACTACAAGCACTAAGAACTGCTGTGAAAGTCAAGTGATCAGGCCTTGTTCTCTCTTCCTCCATCAGATTGAAAAGTTCAATTGCTTCCAGGCAGTACCCATGATTTGCATAACCGAAAATCATTGAATTCCAAGTCACAGTATTTCTCTCAGACATTTTATAAAACAGAGTCCTTGCCTCTCGAATAAACCCACATTTTGCATACATGTCAACAAGAGCACTCCTAACATATACATTATCTTCAACTCCAATCACCACTGAATAACCATGAATCTCCTTCCCCTGCTTTAAATCCGCTATGGATGCACAAGCAGCTACGAGGCTGCTAATGGTTGCCGGAGTTGGGCAGAGCCCTAGATTTATCATCTTCTTAAAACTATCAAAAGCAACATCATTTCGAAAGTTCTGCACAAAACCGGATATTACTGAAGTCCAAGATACCACATCAGGCTCAACCCCATTAACCTGCATCAATTCAAAAACTCTAGACACCATGGTTTCATCAGCCTTCAGAGAAAACCCTGCAATCAAGATATTCCATGTAATCACGTTAGGCTTTAATCCTAGTAAATGCATCTCCTCGACCAAACTCAATGCCTCTTTGGCGAGTCCACTCTGAGTATAGCCTGAAAGAACAGCATTTAAAGTAACCAAATCCTTCTCCTCCATTCCATCAAACACTCTTTTGGCCCTTTTCACTAGCCCACATTTTGAGTACATATCAACCAGTGAGCTGATGACAAAAGCATCAGTTTCAAAAGAATGCTTCAGGATGAGGGTATGTATCTTTACCCCGGTTTCTATATCAGAAACATGGCCGCATGCTTTTAGAATGCTGGGGATGACAAACTTGTTGGGTCTGAAATCCTCTCTCTGCATCTCTGAGAAGACGCTCAGTGCCTCTGGATAATAACCACATCGAGAGTAAGCACCTATGAGGTTGATCCAACCGCGGATATTTGTCGTGGGAATTTTGTCGAACACTTTGCGTGCATCGGATAGATACCCACACCCAGTGTATAAAGCTATGAGCTTGGAGGCAAAATGGGTCAAACGAGCCAATCCATGGACAATCAGGTGGGCATGGAGTGCTCTTCCCGGGTATAATGCTCGATCACGAGCGTACATTTCAATAAGTTCGGTGTAGGCATCGGAGGACGATTGAAATAAAATTTTGATGATGGGTACTCTCAGGTAAGGCCTGATAATCTCTACGCCGTCGCCGGGGAAGCGCATCGTCGGTGGCCGGGGGAAGTCGGACGCATTTGAGTTAAAGAACTCAGGACGCCGCCATATGGGTATTTTGGTATTTTGAGTTAGGTAATTCACTATTCAACACTTTTACACCGTTGATGAAAGGTTTCATCATGAAATCTACGCCTTTTATTCCTCTCACGAAGATCACCTCAAGTCCCACCTCAAGTTCCAGGGAAAGGTATTTTTTGTTCCATGAATAACGGTGATTGCAAGCAAGAAGTTAATTCACGACTATGCATGAATTGGGTCTTTCTCTAACACCACATACTCTTTTTTGTATCCCCCACCCTTCTTCAAAACCGCTCCTTTACTTGCAAAACCAAGCAAATTTGTCAGTACCCAGTTGCAGATGTGGCTGTCGCTTCTCTATGTTTGGCCCGCGACCCTTTGCGCCTCTTCTAAGATACTACCAGGGGAGGGGGGGCTGTACCGTTCCGAGGGCGAGTCGACGAGAGTCTCCCTATGAAGTGTTAGGGGTTTCTCCGTCTGCAACTCCTGGTGAAATCAAAAGGGCTTACAGGAAACTTGCTTTGAAATATCATCCTGACGTCAATAAAGAGGTAATTGAATTATTGGACTTGGAATTTCATTTAAAATCATGCAGTTTTTGTTACCTTGGCTTGGTTTAGCTCTAATTTGCGATACTTTACTAGGTACTGTAGTCTGTAATTGATTTTGAAGAACTAGGTTAGGGTATAGAAAGAGCAGTGGACAAACTGTATTTGTTTATGTGCTCAAACTACAGAAATTTTTAGTTAGTATGCAGGTTTTCACAATACGAAGAGGGTAGCCATGTTGGATCTTCTTGATATCGAGTTAGGATCTTGTGCTATGGTAACAATGAGATGGGTGAAAGATAAAGAGCATTCTATATTCCATTAGATTGCCTTTTTAGTATCCTCCATCCTGTTATTTTTGTATCCTATGCTGCTTTTTTTTGGTTTTTTTTTTTATTTTTTTATTCTCCTTATGTTTGGTATTTTTATGAATCTTTGGTCTTCAGGCAAATGCACAGGAGAAATTTATGAGGATTAAGCTTGCATATAATACATTGTTGAATTCTGAATCTCAAAGAAGATTCAACACTGGAAACCGTGCGTCAGACTTTTCCTACTCTGATACTCAAAGAAGCCAGAGGAAGGATAGCGAGAATGAAGAAGAATTTTATGGATTTGGTAAAAACTTCTAACTTCTAAGCCTACTAGATGCAAATTAAATATCTTGACTCGCTAGTTCTTACATGCCAATCTTTGTGCCTGTTTGGTAAAAAGAAAAATGAGGATTAAATAGAAATAATGTGTTAATTTCATAAAAACCCAAATGAGAAGCTCTAGCAGAAGCACCAATTCAGTGCTTCTGAGATTTGCAATAAAATAGAGAAAAGACAAGCTTGTGAAAAGTTGTAGCATTTTTCACAAGTTGTAATGTTTGGTGTAACTTGTGCTTTGAAAGCCAAGAAGTCCTTCCCACAAGCTGTACCAAACAGGCCCTTGTCTTGTTTGCTTGTGTTACATGTTTGAATCTAATTTCCATTGGACGAGTTCTATTTCCGCATCAAAAGGTTCATAAAGAAGTTCTTGGATAAGACTGATTTCTTCATTAAACCTGGACCAACTCTATTGTGAATAACAGCTTTCAATATAAATTACTTTTGTGAATGAGGTCGGCTTCCCAATTTCCAATGAGAAGACGGTGAGAGTGTCTTCCTGGAAGTTTGACGCTCTCTTTGTCATTGTTGCTCTTCTTATCATAGCTTCCTTGTATGTCCTTAAAACTGTCTTCTCTTTTGATTTTTTTCAACAAAAAAAGTGTTCATTTATTTATTTATTTTTCCTGAACTCCCCTACAATGAACAACCTTCCAATTGCTAAGTAAAGGATATTAAGAACATCTTATGTTTTCTCTAATTTTCTAGGAGTTAGGTTTTTTCTTGTTTGTTCTTATTCTTAACCCTTTGTGCTGCAGGTAATTTTTTGAGGGATGTTCAAATTACAATAGGTAGATTTGTACTCTCAGTCGAGACATCATGTGGAGCATTACATTGCACTTCAAAACCCTGGCATCTATCATCTTTCCTCTTCATATGCATGCAAACCTACTTTTTATTTAATAGCTAAGTGTTGTGTTTTGTGTCACAGGGGACTTCTTTAGAGACCTTCAAGAAGAATTCCAGAATTGGGAAGCAAGTGCGTCTTCACAAGAAAAGCCAAAGAGCCTGTGGGAGGAATTAGCGGTATGATACATTTGCCTTGACAGTTCAATATAAAGAGCATAATTACAATGATTTTAATCTAGCTAATAAAACGCATGGATTAACATGAAGGCATGTGCTATCTACAGGAAAAAAAATGTTTAACAGGAAACAGCATTCCTTTAGCTAAATGAATTTACTTTTGGCAGGCAATTGGTGAAGAATTTGTGGAATTTCTTGAAAAAGAACTCAACATAACTGATCCAGATGCTGAAGTAAATAAAACAGATAGTGGTAAGTATAATGATTCTGGCAAAACAGGAAATGACTTTCAAAATCAAGCTGGAAAGGGGAGGAGCATCGAGGACAACATTGATGATATAGAAGCTACTCTTGCTAAGTTAAAAAAGGAACTTGGTTTGTAGTGAGGTGATGCAGCTTCGTTTTGGATACGGATCTTGCTCATTCAAAGGAGGAGCTCTTTGCTACGTTGCATACAGAGAAACAGCTGGATTGTGGCATCTCATCATTTTAACATTTCTGAAGCTAATTAGGAAAACCATCTTTATGAATCAAGAAGAAAATTGGAGAGGCACTTTACAATTGTGCAAGGACTGGGATATACCAACTGGCTAAATGTCATGCCCTTTTCTTAATCTCCTTGTGGGTGGGGATGCAGCTGTATATTGTTACACTTTTCATTTTATATTCTTTTAATTAATGAGTTTTAAAAACATCATTCTCACAAAAGTTTCACTCACTAATATACTATAGAAAATTTGAAATGAAAAAAGGAAGAGTATTATATCTAGTGAGGTATTAAACTATCTTCAGGTCTGCTAAAAACATTACCCTTTTCTTGCCCTATCTTTTCTTTTCTCCCTTTTTTTTTTTTTTTTTTTAAATCAGAAGTCCAGAATTGCAGCACCATCAAAATTATTTCGCTTAATTTTCAGGACTAAAAATATTACAGTTGTTAAAGCTATAAAGAAGGGACTTCAACAAGAAGACCAGATTATCCTGCATTGACCATTTGTTTGCAATCTCAGTGCTTATAGAATCTGACCAGAATAGAAAACACAATGAAAAAATTATTAGAAGCAAGAAAGCCACTAGTTGAAATACTATATCTAGTTCTCCGCACGTGAAAACTCTCTAATCTCTATGATCAAGAACAACTCAAATAGTTATAAAACCTGAATGACCAATCTTCACTAAGGAAACGTATAACACCCTATATCGATCTCAATATCTTTCTCCAAAACGGAAGAAAAGTGCCCCCGTTCCAGTGTTGTGATCAACAGCATACTCAGCACGCACTAGACCTAGCTTGACACCTGCACCATATGATGAACCATAACCCATTCGCCTGTAGACTTCTGTTGGGTTTCCCTTTACATCTTTTGAACTACCTAGATCATTGCCATGCTCTGCAAATGCATACACATGGGTGTTTCGTACAGGTATCCTGATCTCAGCTCCAAGCTGAAAGAATAGAGAAAAAAGGTATTGTGTGACTGTTCCATCATTCATCTTATAGTTAGCTTCCCTGGTGATTGCATACCACCAAGATCCTCCCCTTTCGTATGAAATGAAATACGACAAAAATTCTAGTATGATCATAGAAATAATAGCTTAAAGAAAAAATTTCTCCAGAATTCTTACCTCAATAATGTTTCTTGCTGCACCTAACTCACCCATGTTATAACCTCTCACAGAATAAGGTCCCCCAAGAGTAAAGGCATCATAACTTGGAAGATCACCCACACAACCTCCATAATGGCCATGAAGGACTAGAACAGATGGTGGTGGTTTACCAGCACCTTCTTCAACTTGCTTCAATGGGATAAATTCTGTGACAGTAAGCTGGTGGCGGTTAAAGAAGGGAAATTTGCTGCCAATGCCAAGGCCTTGGTCCACCTTCAATTTATAAGAAACAAATGCAGTTAGCTAAAAAGCAACATTGTAAACAAAGTGAAATACAACAAGTTTGTTTGCTCAAGGGGAAAGGAAACATCTTGACTTTATTTACAATCCAAAACCCCATTATTCTACTTTAGAAAGTGACTAAATCTTATGATGTATCCACTGCATAAAACTACACTAGCTGAGGCCCGCATTAAATCATTTATCTTAATGGCCACTACCAATCCATGGAAATGATAAACTCCAGCACAGGTATAACATAAAATGCTATTTAGGCCAGTTAAATGAGTATCAATATGCTTAAATTTAGTCATTTTAACTTGTTCAACAAATACACACCATCCGGCACCTACTACACAAAACAATGTTGTTGCGGCATATATTAAGGTCCATTTGTCCAGTAGAAACTGGAGAATGATTTAACTACTAAAAGAATTTAAGTATGGCCTTTTATTTATGCCAGAGTAAGGAAGCATATAATCCTGAATGCTATAAGTTAGGGCTCAGTTTAAAAGCATATTTCAAGTAAAAAGCCAGTATATTTATGCTAACCTGGAATACAGTCCTCTCACCAACGATAGCTCCATTGACAAATTTGGTGTTATCACGTGTAATATTTGCTTGTAAAAATGCCATTCGATCAACACCAGTACCACTTAGAGTTGTTGGAGGCCCATCTGCACTGATGCCACCACTGGGCAAGACTCTTTGACCATGAGCAGAGATATGACTACTTTCGTCACGGGTTGTTATCTCTTCCATCACAAGTCCGTAAGTAAATTTACTTTGACGAGAGAAATTCTGCCAGAGGAAGCATGTCAATCAGAATATATTCCACTATCAATTTAAATCCAAAATTTTATCAAGAAACTTTTGTGGGCATAGAAGTTGCAATGCTGATTACCTCTGTAATATTAGCTTTGATGCCAGCTCGATCAACCCATATTGGGGGGACTTCATCAACTCCTGGCCCACCAGTGAAAACTGGACTTAATTTTCTACTGTTGAAACAGCTTGTGCGGAAAGTACGATTTCGTGGATTACTTACACCATCCAGATATGGATGCACATATTCAAGCTTAAAAGCAAGATCATCCTGAAGAACAGATCAACAAGAACATCTTATGATGCAAATTTTTTCTGATATATAATATTAATAACCAACCTTCTGAAGTTATCACTGGGGGAGGGAGAAGAGGATGAAGCCAGCAAGTTTAGGAAAACTTACCTGGGGATTAAAGAAGTTACTGGTGGTCACTGAACCAAGAACGGATCTATTAAGCCCATAGAGATTTCGATGCTCAAAAGAGACAGTTCCACCAGGTTGAAGGGAAGCCTGAACAAAAAATAAAATGCAAAAAAAGCACATAGAACTCAGAAATTTTAAAATAAAGCTCCCATATCTAATTATTTGTCTGCAAATTACAGTATTGAACCACATTTACATACCAAAGTAGGGCGCCCTCCACGTCCAGGAACAATACTCCATTCTGTACTGACTTCAGCAGACTTTTGATCTAGTTCTTTAAGCTTTATCTCAACAATGATTCCTCCCTCATTCTTTTCATCAGGTCGAGGGTTCACCTCAATATTTGAAAACAAAGCCAGTGCATTTATGTTCCTCAGAGCTTGTTTCCCAGCTTCTATGTTAAAAACTTGACCTTTCTTAAGCTGTGAACAAGTCAAAAGGTCTCTAATTAGAAATTGAATAGGACAGATACAAATCAATTAATCGCCATTAATACTGGAACTGAATGAATCAATTGACAACAAAGACTCCATGATGTATCTAAATTACAGTTTACTTAACTGAACCAATGTATAAAGTAACGAAGCAGACAAATCTCTATCCTACATAAATGTCTGTCCATATCATAATTAACAATCAACAAATCATCACAAACTCAAAATTGAATGTATGAGTGAAATAAAATACTATCAAATAATACCTGTTTAGGCAACTCCCTCTTCACAACAGCAGGCAGAGTATTCCCTTCAACAACATTGCCAAGCTTATCCAGAAACTGAATCACGACCTGTGTAATATCCCCTTCCACAACCTCACAAACAACCTCCTCAGTATTCAAGTTCCCGAAATTCACAACCTGGGCGCATGCATACCCCTCATCATGATACCATTTCTGCACCCTATCCCTGATTCTCTGCAACAGCCTAGCGCTCACCTGCTCATTGTTCTTGAGCATCTGCAACACCTCATCTCTCACCTGCTTGGGCAACAGACATGGCTTGGCTCTCTGAATCCTTCTCTTATAATCCTTTTCCTGACTCATATAGAACTCAAGCTTCTCCTTTTCTGTCATATCAGGGTCCATCTCAAGAGGCTTAGATTGTGCCATCAACCCCACATTGATACATTTGAACTTATTCGCATTTTCCCAGGTGCTCTCCGTGAAGGATATCGACAATCCAAGCGTTCCATCAGGTTTTGTCTTCCCTTCCATATCCACTTTCTCGAACATTCCGCAAGTGGCAAGGGTCTCCAGCTCTTTCAACAACTGGCTCTTGGTGTAGATCCCACCAGGCCTTATAGAAACCATCTCAAAGAAAGGATCTTCAGTTCCTACAGTGGTCCGTTTATCTTTATCATAGAATAAAATCTCCGATACCTTATACCTCTTGAGGGCACTGAGTTTATTCAGCTGGACCGCAATGTTGGCGGGCAGGCCGTGCGAATCCCATTCTCGGGACTGCTCATCTTCATCAGCAATTGCCGGCGCTGAAGAAAATAATTTATCCCAGAAATTGGAACCCCCATTTCCGCCTCCACCTCCGCCATTGCCACCACTACCCCCACCGAATCCATTACCTCCAAAATTATCACCGCCGCCACCGAAAAGGTTGGGAATGGAGGAGAGAGGGAAGAGTAAAGTAGCGGCGGCAACAGATACAGAGGAGATAGCAAGGGGCTTGACGATGGATTTGATGGAATTATTCCTGGGTTTAGGGTTCTGGGCGGGAAGTTGTTTACATTTAACAGTGGTGGAGCAAGGGGCTACGCGTGTGGATGAAGAGGGGAATCTGGGGAGGGAGGAAGGGAGATTGGCGGAGGGGGTGCGGAGGTGGGAGGGTGCACCGAAGGCCATTGAACTGTCTCCGGTGAGGATAAGGGGGACGTACTTTGGGGGGGGTGTGGACTGTGGAAGCCGGCGGGAGGGTTAAGGGTTTATTGGGGTGGTGAGTTGGTTGGTCCGGACTTGGCCATCCACCACTAGACAGGACCGGTTTGGTTTAGTATTTTAAAGAAAATAAAATAAAAAAATTCACCTTACTAGGAAAGAGATGCATAATTGCTGATTACTTGAAATAGATTGCACGAAAAAAATGTTGATATGGTAATATTTTTGTAAAGCTACTTCTCGTTTTAAACTTTTTGTTACAAAATGTTGTTTATGTAAAGAAATCTTTTTTTTTTTTTTTTATCAAGGGTAATTTTTGAGGAGAAAGATTCAACTTATACTTATGAGACTGGGTGATACGCACTATTACCAATTAATCTACAAAGGTCAGGCGTGTATTTAGATAAAAAAATCTATTTTGTATTAATAGAGAGTTATATATTTCTAGATTTAAAAAAAAATAAAGAAGAAAAAACCAAAAATGATTGAGATTTCAGACAAACTAGAACTTTCATAAATGTAGGATCAGGGAAGCTGAGACCCTCTTGCAATTTCAGAAACAGAGGAAACTTGGTTCACCCCAAAAATAGCAGAGGGAACTTGGTCAAACAGAGTACTCTGTTTTTGAAAACAGAGGAAACTTACCAAGTCAAATTTGCTATTTCAAGACGCAAATTTTCGTTACATTAGCTTCATCTTGTTGCCATGTGTAGAAATGAAGCCCACAGACACACCCCATTACATTGTTTGTGGCATCTGTTTTCTGCCCATGCAAGAACACCGGAAATTAATAATGTCCCACCATTGGTGATGGGGGAGAGATACAAAAGGAGAATCCCCAAATCCATCCATTTCAGAAAAAATGGCTCAATCTGGTGGAGAACATACAAGAACGACACCTACTGCCACCCCAACTAAGGAACAACTTCTTCGAGGTCATTTTGTTTCTCTTACGTTTTTTCCCCCTTTTTTTTTAAAAAAATCAACCATTTTAACAAGCTGTTTATTTATACAGCAGTTGATTCTCAAAAATGGTCACCACAGGGCTCACCTTCATTCAAGGATCAGGATTCAGAGGACAATAACGGCAACCATCATCCCAAGAAATCTGTTCTTACAAAAGTCAAGGAGAAGGCTAGAAAGTTAAGGAAAAGTCTCAGCAAAAAGAAGCACAGTGATGTAGATGACAACACACCCTCTCCGGATGTTAGATTTGAAGATTTGGTGGCAGATGAAGAAGAAGATCCTGAATATCTTGGTGCTCCAAGTAATTACATGAAATATAACCTTTTACACCATTTTCATTGATTAACAGGATGCTTATACATTTTATATCTATGACATTTTATGTTCAGTGTATGAATCTGAATTGGCCCCAGAAAGGTACAAGGTAACTGCAATGCAGAGTCCAAGGGATCTCACAGTAATCCCGGAGAACCATGCAAAGCCAGGTCATACCAATCTTGACATGGAACAGGAGAAAGATCAGAAGCCGCCTGGTCAGAACAATACATTAGCCGAAGCCACGACAGAACCAGTAGCAGATGCAATTCATGATATTGCCACAAAGATTCAAACCGGGCTAACTGTTGCAGTTGGGGGACCTGCTCCTAATGCTGCTCATGGAACTGATAAGGAGGCTACAGAAGAATCTAGTAAATCTACTACTGCTAGTAATGAAAACGAGGAGGCTCAGAAGAAATTGGATAAAGCTAATTCTTCCAGAGAGAAAATATGGGACAAAGGTGTTTCAGTAAAAGAGTATATAATGAACAAGTTTGAGCCTGGGGAAGATGAGAAAGCACTTTCTCAGGTAATATCTCAAGCAATGAGCCCAAGAAGTCCTAGTGATGTGGTAGGAAAGGTGAAAGAAGCCATGAACTCTTTCCTCTGGAGTGAGAAGCCTGCCCAATCTAATGACAATATCTCACATTCAGCTTCCAACTCCTTAACTAATATTCCTGTCTCTACAAATGCCGAAGAAGGTAATAAGTTGATTAGTTTTTTTCATTACCATGGAGTACAACATGTCATCTGCAATCTCTTTTTCTTTTTTTTTCCCCTTTTTATAGCTGTTATTGATGATTCAAATGTCGGCGTGTTTTGATGTTGCAGTTATGGAGGAAGAAAGCCGTGGAAGAATTCTCCAAACCAACTAAAAAATGCAATTCAAGTGCTGATCAGGAAAATGTTACCTGGACTGTGTGTTCTGTTTATTTTGTATGATTTGTTTTTGAAGCTACAAAATCTATTTGTCTAGTACTAAGACGTGCAATTCTAATCTAGTACTACATAGAAGATAATAAAGCAGCTTTGTGAACAATGTTGTACATAGTCATAGGCTGCTCCCTCAAGTTGAATGTTCAGGAAAGCTGAATTTTTCTAATCTAGCTTAGTACAATAGTTTTTGTAAACAATCTGCTTTTCCTGAGTTCATTCACATCAATGTAAGCATGCTTCATTTCACAGTAAAATTGGAATTTTTCCTTTTTCAGTTGCTTTACATCTTCTAGAATTGAATCATAGCCACCAGGAACACACCGTAGAATAGTCAAGGTGAAAATTCTATTCCTAAATATCTCTAAATTTCCAGGACTCTAAGTGAGTGTGAACTCAGGCATCTATTTTATGATTATGATCTTGCAGCATATTCGTTTACGGTACCTATCTATCACCTGCTTGGACTAAGCTATCTTGGACTAAGCTATCTTGGACTTTAGCAAATGTCCTTTTATTTTTTACAATAAAAACAAGATTCATAAATTATTAACAGCAAAGCAAGTAACAATCATACACAAGAAAAGATTAATAATCCAACATTTGTGTTGAAATTTTTGGTGGTAAAAAGGGTGTTTAGAGACAGGACTTGGAGGAGAAGGAGACACACCCGGAGTTTCCTTTTTTGGTGAGGTGAAAACTCATTTTTTTTTCATTCATCCTCTGCCATTATATAGCAGAAATTACTTAATACATTAAAAGTAATATTCTTACTTAATATTTACTTAATACAAGAAAATCTACCAAACATTTAATGCTAGATTACATTCAAAGATTTGCTGCCCTTTGTGCCGCTCCATGTTGCTGTGCTTTGCTGCTATTTTGCAGCCTTTCATTTGCATTTCATTTGCCGTTCAATACAGCCTCATTTCATCAGCATTTGCAGCTTAGCTTGCTGCACTTTGCTGCTACTGTGCTGTTGGTGCAGCTCTCCCTTTTTCATTTGCTGCCATTTTGTGCAGCCTTTCATTTTTATTTGCTGCCACTTGTGCAGCTTTGACACCACAACTCCAACAATTTGTACTATTTGTTTGTAATTATATGCAAGTGGTTGAGGCTAATTGAAAGCAACTACAGGTAGAAATGTATGAAAATCTTCGTCCACTTTTGAAACTTTGAGCAACAAAGGTTGGTTTGTGAAATGAAAGAACTGAAAATTCTAGAATTGTAAAACCATCATTTTCTCTTGATCTAATGCAAGTAAGAATATTAATGCAGGATTAAATTAAAGTCTAAGCAAGCAAATTAATTTTATATCTACTTCATTGTACGTTAAATGGATTGTGTAGGTCAGCTAGATGATATAACTTGTCATTTGATCGGCAGAAGCTGTTAAATAACGAGTCACATCTGCATGTAAACCATATAGTGAGAAAGTGGAAACTTAGGAAGTGTCATATATGTAACACCCTATATACTTTAGTAAATAAATTAAAAATTTGAGTCTTTTATTTTAATATTTTAACGACTAAATTGGTTAGATTTAAAGTATATGAATCTTATGTGAAATTTTGAGATAATTGGGGGCTATTTAACTATATTAACCAAAAATTTAAGACATGTGAACAATTTATGAACCAAGTCATCTGGAGTTTTCTCTAGAAGACTTTAGAAAGCCAGATTCCTTTTTCTTTTGAACTTATCCTCCCTAAACCCATTTTCTCTGCATCTTTTTTTTTTTCCAGCCTCTCCTCTGCACTTTTTCTCCTTTGGTTGCCGAGTAGGATGTGTGGGATGTACCCTCCAGTGAAATCTCTTTCAACTTCGACTGGTTGTTTGAGTTTAGTGCTTTGATTTCCAAGTAAGTATGAGTTTTTGTTATAAATTTGGGTTAGAGTTGGGTAGATTACAGATTTATCATAATATACTAGAAATTAGTTTAAATTAGGAGTTTTGACCCCAGATCTGTAGTTTGGGAGATTTTTGGACAGTAGAAATTGTGTTAGAAATATAAGATATTGTGGGGCTTGCACAGGAATGACTTCATGATGAGTTTAATTTTCATACTTTTTTACTATTTGTATGTGATTTATATGTGGACGGATGAGGCTAATTGAAAGCAACTGCAGGTAGCTAGAAACATATGAGAATCTTCATCCACTTTTAAAACTTTGCCCAACAAAGGTTGGTTTGTAAAATGAAAGAATTGAAAATTCTAGAATTGTAAAGCCATCATTTTCTTTTGATCTAATGCAAGTAAGAATATTAATGCAGGATTAAATTAAAGTCTAAGCAAGCAAATTAATTTTATATCTACTTCATTGTACGTTAAATGAATTGTGTACGTCAGCTAGATGATATAACCTGCCATTTGATCGGTAGAAGTTGTTAAATAACGAGTCACATTTGCATGTAGACCATACGGTGAGAAAGTGGGAACTTAGGAAGTGTCATATATGTAATACTCCATATACTTTACTTAATAAATTAAAATTTTGAGTCTTTTATTCTAATATTTTAGAGACTAAATTGATTAGATTTAAAGTATATGAACCTTATATGAAATTTTGAGATAATTGGGGGCTATTTAACTATATTAACCAAAAATTTAAAACATGTGACAATTTATGAACCAAGTCATCTGGGGTTTTCTCTATAATACTTTAGAAAGCCAAATCCTTTTTTCCTTTGAACTTATCCTCTCGAAACCCATTTTCTTTGCATCTTTCTTTTTCCAGTTTGTCCTCTGCACTTTTTCTCCTTTGGCTGCCCAGTGGGATGTGTGGAATGTAATGGGTATAA